TGAAGAAGCTATCTTTTCTCCAATGTATGTTTTTGGCACCTTTGTCTAATACAAGATAATTGTAGTTTTGTGGGTCCTCTGTGTCCTCTATTCTGTACCTTTGGTCTACCAGTCTGTTTTGGTGCCAATACCATGCTGTTTTTGATACTATTGCTCTGTAGTATAGTTTAAGGTCTGGTATAGTGATGCCACCTGCTTCACTCTTCATGTTAAGGATTACTTTAGTTATTCTGAGTCTTTTATTTTTCCAGATGAATTTCATGATTGCTTGTTCTATTTCTATGAGGAATGCCAGTGGGATTTTTATTGGAATTGCATTAAATCTGTATAGTGCTTTTGGTAGTATGGTCATTTTGATAATATTAATTTTGCCTATCCAAGAGCAAGGTAGATCTTTCCATCTTCTCAAGTCTTTTTTGATTTCTTGCTTTAGGATTCTGTAGTTTTCATTGTAGAGATCTTTCACCTCTTTTGTTAATTCCCAAATATCTTATTTTTTTTTGAGGTTATTGTAAATGGGATAGTTTTCCTCATTTCCTTCTCAGACTGGCTTATTTCACTTGGTATGATAGTCTCTAGTTCCATCCATATATGGGCAAATGACATAATTTCATCCTTCTTTATATCTGAATAACCCTCCATTGACTGTATATACACCAAATTATCTTTTATCCATTCATCTGTTGAAAGGCATATAGGTTGGCTCCCTAGCTTGGCTATTGTGAAATTGTGATGCTATAAACATTGATGTGGCTATACCACTGTAGTATGCTGATTTTAAACTTTGGATATATTTCAAGGAGTAGGACAGCTGGGTCATATGATGGTTCCATTCTTCGTTTTTTGAACAATCTTCATACTACTTTCCAGACTGGTTGCACTAATTTGCAGTCCCACCAACAATATGTAACTTTTTCCCCACATCCTTACCAATATTTATATTTGTTTTCCTGCTAACTGCTATTCTGACTGGAGATGAAATTTCAGTGTAGTTCGATTTGCATTTCCCTAATTACTAGAGATGTTAAACATTTTTTTTTCATTTACTTGTGACCTTCTGTATTTCTTCTGTTGAGAACTGTTTAGTTCTTTTGTCCACTGATTAGGTTATTTGGAGGGTTTTGGTTTTGGTGTTTTTGAGCTCTTTCTATATCCTGGATATGAATGCCCTGAGGAACAGGTGGCAAAAATCTTCTCCCATTCTGTAAGCTCTCTTCACACTCATTTACTTTGCTGTGCAGAAGCTTTTAAATTTAATGCCATCCCAGTTACTGATTTTTTATTTACTTTTTGTGCTTTAGGAGTCTTGTTATGAAAACTGGTACCTGTGCTGGCATGCTGCAGTGTTGGGCCTACATTTTCTTCTAGCAGTTGCAGGGTTTCTGGTCTAATTCCTAGGTCTTTATACACTTTGAGTTGAATTTTGTGCAGGGTGAGAGATGGGGGTCAAGTTTCATTCTTCTCTATATGGATTTCCAGTTTTCCCAAGACCATTTGTTAAAAAGGGTCTCTCTTCTCCAGCCTAGGTTTTTGGCACCTTTGTCTACTATCAGATAACCGTACTGATATGGGTTTGTCTCTGTGTCTTATATTTCATTGGTCTTCATACGGGTTTTTGTGCCAGTGCCAGGTTGGTTTTGTTACAATAGCTGTGTAGTATAATTTGAGGTGGTATTGTGATGCCTCCTGCTTTGCTCTTCTTGCTAAAGATTGCTTTGGCTATTCCAGGTCTCTTATTTTTTCAAATGAATTTCAGAACTGCTTTTTTTAGTTCTATGAAGAACGTCACTTGAATTTTGATAGGCACAGCATTACAGACGATGTAATTTCTATTGTTCTAATCTTACATTCATTGATTCATTCCTTTCTCCATTTTGTTTGAGAGCACTGAGTATTTTTACCGTATTTTTAAAGCTTTTTTATACTAAAATACACATAAAATTACCATTTTAACCATTTGAAAATATATAATTCAGTGGCATGAAGTATATTCAGTGTTGCGCATCCATCACTACTATCTACATTCAGAATTTTCAGGTTCCCCCCACAAAAAAACACTATTAAATAATAGATCTGTCTCTATGAAATTTGCCTATTCTAGATATATGTGGAATCAAATATTTGTCCTTTTGTGTCTGGCATATTTTACTTAGCATTTTTTCAAAGCTCACTCTTTGTAGCATATATCAGAATTTCATTTTCTTTTAAAGAGATGTGGTCTTACTATCCCAGGATGGCCTTTAACTCCAAGGCTCAAAAAAGCCTCCCATTTCAATCTCTTGAGTAGATGGTAATACAGGCACATGCCACTGAGTCCAGCTACACAATCTGTCATCCATTTATTTGTTGATGGACATTTAGGTTGTTTCTAACTTTTGGCTATTGTGAATAATACTGTTTTGAACATTTGTGTCTAAGTATCTACTTGAGCACCTGCTTTCAACTCTATAGAGTATATGCCTGGGTGCATATACCTAGGAATGGAATAGCTAGATGAATTACACGGTTATTCTATCTCTGATATTTTGCAAAACTACCAAACTGTATTCCAACCATCAACACAGCATTCCAGTTTCTCCATATCCTCACCAACATTGTTATTTTCTCTTATACTGATAATAGCCATCCTAATGGCTATTAAATGATATCTCACTATGGTTTTGATTTGTATTTCCTTAATGGTTGGTGATGTTGATTATGTTTTCAAGTACTTACTACCCATTTTTATGTCTGTTTAAGTCCTTTGCTTATTTTCTTCCTTTTGTTGGTGCTGGATTTTGAACTCAGGGCTTAGTATATTTCAGACAAGTGCTCTATCATTGAATTATACTCCCCAACCCTCTTGCCTGTTTTTAAACTGGATTGTTTTATTTTGTTTTGGTTGAATTATAGTTCTTTAGGTATTCTGGATATTGAGCCCTTATCAGATAAATTAAAATATTTTCTCTTTTTTTTTTTTTTTGTGATGTAGGTGATTGAACCCAGGGCACTGCACATGTAGGTAAGCATTCTACCACTGAGATATATCCCTGTGCCTCCTGTTTTTTGTTTGTTTGTTTGTTTGTTTTTGTTGTTGTTGTTTTTTTACAATAGGGTTCTTGTTTGATCAGGAAATATAGAGAGTTTCCACAAACTCCCTTCTATCCCCCAAACAGTTTCCTCAATCATTTATATCTTGTATTAGTGTGGTAAACTTGATGAGCAAATGATACATTAACTAAGGTCCATAGTTTTATACTAGGGTTCACTCTTAGTATTGCACATTCTCTGGATTTTGAAAAATGTACAATGACATGTGTCCATTCTGATATATCATACAGAATAGCTTCACTGTCCTAAAAAGTCCAGTACACCACCTACCTATTTGTCTCTCCCTCCCACCAAATCCCTGACAACCTTCAAGTGGGTTCATATTTGTTTGTTGAAAAACTTACATGATGAATGCCTTAAAAATCCTTGTCAGACAACTGTAACAAGTTGCATTTCAATGCTGGCTTCTCTTGTCTTTTCTCAACAGTTTTAATTCTTGTGATGACAAGTAAATTTCTTTATTGAGACCTGGTACTATCACTTTCTGAATTTTTTTATTTTCATAAGCTTCCTATAATTTTGCTCCTGCTAGGAAAGTGGGACACTGTCTCACTGCTGCTAGGTTGGGGTGGAACCACCAGACTGAGGAGTACAGGCTCCCTGTTACTGAAGGAAGAGGTGGGAGTTCAGGTTCTCCACTAGACCTCTGCTATTACCACCAGAGCTAGGAAGAACAGAAGCGGTTTGTTACAGATCCTCACATGTCCTCCACTGACTTGATGGTGGTTGGCCCTGCTACTGCAGAGAAGTGGTAAGAGTTCCGACCCAGGAGGAGGCCTCCTTTGTCACCACCCTAGCAAGTAGAAGGGATACCTCTTACTACAAGATGGGAGTAGATGTCTTGGCTCCCTATGTGGTCTCCACTGACACCATGAGGCTGGGGCCTCCTTACTGCCTGGTGTGGATGGAAGTCCTTATTCCTCATTCAGCCTTCTTTGATACCATACTGGCTGGGGCTAGGAGTGGGAAATGTGGTCCAAGGATGCACATTTGAGGTTCTTTGTTACAACCTAGCCAGGGTCAGAGTCTAGGCTCTCTACTTGGCCTTTGCAGGCGGGAACTGGGCTCTAGTTTTTTCTATGGTGTTTGGAATAAGCAGTTAATGATTAAAAACTGTCTGCTTTGTGGGGCTCTCCCACTCCTAGTTCTTTAGTTCAGGAGAGGTTTGTTTGTTTTATTCTGGGGGCGGGGGGGAGGGGGGTCTGTTTTGGGTTACACTCATTGTCATGTCCAGTTGCCAGTTATTACAGCATTCTTTCTGGGATATATGGAGAAAAGGAAAATATGAGAACTCACTACATGATATTCTTTGTGTCTTAAAATCCTAATCAGTCATCCTTCTTCTGTCTACTTTTCATTGTTCTTTTGTTTGTTTTATATATACTGTTCAGAGTTACCAGCTGTATTTAGTGAGAGGAATAGGAAAAGGTAAGTCTACTCTGTCTTCGCAGTAGTCCCTTTTAATAGCCTTTACTAACAGCTATATCATGTACAAGGCACAAAAACAGAAACAGTACTGAACTTGGAGTTCAGAGGACTGGGTTCAAATATCAACTAACTTGGAAGTTCAGAGTAATCCTAGCTGTCCGAATTCATAATTATTTAACCTCTTTGAACTTTACCTCCCATATCTGCAAAAAGAAATAACATCACCATTTCACAAGACTTGAAAAGATTAAGTGAGATTATGTACTTAAAAGCACCTGATACAACTCTTGGCACATAGTCTGCACTCAGTGGCTCTGACTCTATGCATGTCAAAATACTTAAGATAAAAAAGGAATTATCTGAGACCCATTAGATGTAAATAAGCTCTGAATTAGTAATTATTTATTCTCCATTTTCTTGTTTTAAAATAGGACCCCATCCCAAACAGATTCAGAAAAATATACATGTAAACTAAAGGTAACCTGTAATTTCAGTGTAGAGATGAATCTATCTTGGTTTCTCACTTCTTGTTCTAGTTGGAGAGTATTCTGGTATTTTTCAGCTTCAGAAACTGGAGCCCCTAAACCAAAATGATGTTCTTTGGTGGTAACCTAGAGGAAACAATGGGAAATAACACAGAGGCATTCATTTTCAAAAAACTGTGATTTCTCATGATTATCAATAAATTTTGAGAATTCGTAACATTCTTTATTGGATGATTTGGGGGGGGGCAGGGGGGGTTACCGGGGATTGAACCCATGGCCTTGTGCATGCAAGGCGAGTATTCTACCAACTGAGCTATATCCTCAGCCCTAGATGATGTTTTAAATTGTTTTTAACTATGAGCCAGTGATCAAAAGAACAAGTTATTTTCTTAAACTTGCATTATAAAACATTATCTGTATGTTTTCTAAATATAAAACTATAAACTTGAACATGTTTTTCAAAGAAGAGATGCCCTATCTTATCACTGTTCTAAGGAAATATGAGAAAGTAGCAAATGCAGCAGTCTATGTCTAGGCCTGTGTAGCCACTAGCTACAAGTTTACTGTTGCTATTGTATATTAAGCAAAATGTTTGCTACCCTTTCATAAAAAACAAATTTCCCTAATATATACATAATTCCCTAATATATACATAATAAAAAAGGAAGAAGAGATGCCTTAATACAAAAATTGGTAAAGACCATAGGCATTTACAGAAATGTTCCATCTTTACTGTACAAATTAGAACACAAAATAGTCACATTTATTCATTTAACCATTACCTTGGCAAAGATCAATAAATTGGATATATAATTCAGCATCCTAATAAATCAGTGGTGGTAGTATAAATTGATAGAGTATTTACTGAGAACAGTTGTGTAAATATCTACTAACATTACTAAAGTATATAGAGCTTCTGTCCAAATAATTCCATTTCTAGGAGTTTAACCTACATATACATTTGCACATGTATAAAATGACAATGTTGAAGATTTTCCACTTTAGTATACTATACATAATCCTCCACATTGAGCTTTTTTTAATCTGATAACATACCTTAAAGATTGTGTTATTAAGGGAAATATTTTCTTTCCATGAATCAAGGATACCATTATGTAAAGAAAGTAAAAATTTACTATGAGCATCCTAGATCTTTCTTTCCAACACAGATGCTGTTATCCAAAATATCCCTTGGTGAATTATAGAATTAGAATCTCTCTATTGACTAGTCTTGTATTGCATCTTGTGCAACCTGTTAATAAGCAAACTGTTGGATTTAGTTTCCTTTTTTCCTTTCTCTAAATAAAATACAGATCTCCTTTTATGTCCATTTCAATAATTATTACACCATCTGGAATGTCAGCATAAAATCTCACAGAGTATTTAAAATCATGAATCATTTAGTCTTTTATGGGCTAAATCAGAATCCTATCGTTTCTTATAAGTTTATAAGTGGGAAGTATATTTCTAGCTATAAACATTCAACTTAGGGTAATAAAATGATTTCTCACTTCAGCAAGACTGTTTAAATTTTAGTGAACATATGACTCACATGGGAATCTTGTTTAAATACAGACCCTTATATACAGTAGCCTGAGATTCTGCATTTGTAAAAAGCTGCCCTGTAGTCCCTATTTGGCTAGTAGGACATCTTGAATTGCAAGGATCTATTTAACTAAAGTCTAAGCCTGCCCAACATAATTTGTTCTCTTCCCACTTTTCCAAACTTATCTCCTACTTGGCACTTCCAAGAACCCCTCTAGTAAAGACAAAGTATTCTACACATCTTCTTACATATACTTATATGCATTTTTCTCCATTTAACTAGATACTTTTAATGCTTTCTTCAATTTCATATTCTCCAGGTTTTCTCTATCTTATCCATTAAATAATTACATTTCATTGAGACTTCTGTCTTACTAATATAGAACAATTTATGTAGTTATTATTTTTTCTAGGGATGTCTTTCTCATACATTTATCAAAATCTTAATAACAAGTAGTGTCCAAAAGTTGTGTCTCCATCAACACTGTTCTTTATAAAATAAGAAGGTGCCAGGCTCAGTGGAGCACACCTATAATCCCAATGGCTCGGGAGGCTAAGGCAGGAGGATTGCAAGTTCAAAACCAGACTTAGCAATTTAGGGAGGCCCTAAGTAACTTAGTGAGACCTTGTCTCACTAATTAAAAAATAAAAAGGGCTGGGGATGTGGCTCAGTGGTTAAGCACCCCGGGTTCAATCCCTGGTACCTAAATAAATAAGGTGTCAATAAAATCTGTTGAGGTTGATACGCAGTATGCAAAGCAGACAAAATTGAATTTTTCCTTCTCTTTGGTGAACTCGTCAAATAGAAATTCTACACAATTACCTATAAGGCTAGTCTAAGAATTAAAAACAGGAAGCAGCCACAAATCCACTGAACAATCAAGAGCAATCATGTTGGACTTGCTACTTACCACCCCCCACACTAGCTTTGGAGGCAATATGGCTGATGGGGAGAGAGATTATTGTACCTGAAATCCTCACACCTGGCCTGCCAGTTCCTACACCTTGAGACACCTGAGTATCTTACACATTCCAGTGACCTTTAACATCAATATCCATAAGAATAGAATGTTATTTCTGTACAGATCTCATATAGAGAATGCAAATGCGAAGTTTATACTCCATTGGGAAGCAGCAAGCACGGTGATTAAGAGCACATATTTTGCTATCAGACTGCCAATGTTCATAACCCTAATTCTGCACTTTCTTAGTTGCATGACACTGGGCACATTACTTCTCTAGCCATGGTTTCCTCATCTGATCACTAGGGGTGACAAAAAGAGTGCCTATCTCATAGAGTTATGTGAGGGTTAAATGAATTGGTATACATAAAGCTCTTCGAATAGTGCCTGGTACATAATAAACACTATAAGTATTATTATTTACCATTATTATTATTACTAATTCCTCTCTTTATTTATCTAATCAGCCATCACATCCTTCTGATCTTTTCACAAAACTCTCTCAAATCACTGTTTTAGTTCATGCTATCCAATTGTAATAGTCACATTTATTCACTGATCAGACAAATTTTCAAATAGCTAAAATATGAAAAAAATCAATAATATTAGTGTATGGGGATAAAAAATGGAAAACAAATAAAAACCTACAATTTCAACCTTCAATTAGTCTAGGGAAGTCCAGGAAAAATAAATCAGAAATTTACAACACAGGCTGGGTGCAGTGGCGCAAGCCTGTGATCCCAGCAGCTTGAAAGATTGAGGCAGGAGGATTGAGAGCTCAAAGCCAGCCTTAGCAATGGCAAGGTACTAAGCAACTCAGTGAAATAGGGCTGGGGAAGTGGCTCAGTGGTTGGGTGCCCCCAACCTTCAATCCCCAGTACCAAGAAAAAAAAATTACAATACAGCATGATTGCTGCCACATGAAATTATTGCATATGTATGCTAAAAGACAGAGAAAAGAGCTACAAAAAAAGTGTTTCTGACTTACTGCCCCTCCCAACCAAAGACTTAGGATCTACTCTCCATTCCCCCCAAAACCATGAACATACCCCTAAGCACTGAACACGTGATATTACTTTTACTGGATGTCCACACTGTGGCAACTTTAACAAGTCTAACATAGACCTCTTAAACCCTCACCTGTACCCCTGCTCTCTCAGCCATGCCTCCACTCCAGTCTTCAAATGGCACCATCACTTGTGCATGTACCCAAGGTCAAAAAAGGAGTAGTCATTTTTAATTTCCCCAACACTCATGTACTCTATCAGCAAGTCCTGTTGGTCCCACCTCTAAAATATATCTTAAATCCACTCACTTCTGTACATTTTTATTACACCGCCTGAGTCCAAGTCGTCATCATCTCCCACCTAGATTACTTCAAATTTTCTTCTGGTCTTTCTGCTGCTTCTATTACTCCCTACAGCTTATTCTCCATACTAAAATCAAATCAATCATTTTAAAATGACAAGATACCAGTTGAGGCTGTAGCTCAGTGATAAAATCTTGTCTAGCAGGCACAAGGCCCTGGATTAAATCTCTAAACTGTTTTTAAAAAAAAAAAAAGAGTAAAATTAATACCATTTGAAAACACTCCAGTGGCTCCTACTGCAATAAAATCCAAAAAATAAAATCCAAACTTTTTATGGTCCTACATGATGTGGGCCCTGCCTTCACTTAAAAGACTTGGCACTCTCTTCTTTGTTCACCTGCTAGCTTTGTTTTCTTTCTGTTCCTCTAATGCACTGCTATACTGAATATTTGTTCCTCCTCAATTCTCATGTTGAAATCCTAACCCCCAAAATGGTTATATTAAGAGGTACCAGGGCTGAGAGTGTAGTTCAGCAGTAGAATACCTGCTTAACATGCCTGAGGACCAGAGTTCCATCCCCAACACCAAAACAAAAACCAGGGATGAGGGTGAGTTGTAGTATTTGCCCTTAAAAAAAAAAAAAAAAAAAAAAAAAGCCCCTAAGAACTCCTTTGCCTGTGCAAATGTCCTGAAAGTATCTATGAAACAGGAAATAGGCCCTCACCAAACATGAAATCTGCTAATACTATGATCTTGAATTTCCCAGCCTCCAGAACTGTGAGAATAAAAATTTCTGTTGTTCACAAGCTACCAGGTAGATAGTATTTTGTTAGAGCAGCCCAAATGAACCAAGTCATGCCAATCTCATTTCTCTTCAAGACCTCTGCCCTTGCTTTTCCCATCAGGAATATTTTCTCCTCAGCCCTTTGCATAGTTGGCTCCTTTTCATCCTCAGACCTTTGGCTTGAATACCACAGGGTCTTTCCTGCCTTCTCATCTAAAGTAGCTTCTTTCCCAGTCACTGTCTATTTAAGCAATTTGTGTTTATCACTACTTGAAATTACATTGTTTAATTATTCACATGTTTATTATCTGTCTTTCCCTATTATACACCATCCAAGACACTAGGTTCTTGTCACAAGTATATCTCCAATGCCTGATAAATGCCCTCCACAAAGTTGCTTAGTAAAACATTTATTTTATAGTTTTCAAAATAATGAATTTTGATTATTTAAACAAAGTAGTTTCAGTGTCGGGGAAGAAGGGAAAAGTCTAAAGAGGACTAATGAATGAATGAGGAATAGAGAAGAGAAGTGGAAAATGTAAACTTCTTTTAGGAAGCATAGTTGAAAAGAAGAAAAGTGAAAGTTGGAGGAAGACCAAGGTTACAGAAGGGTCATTATAAGAGGAGAAAAATATGTTTCTTAATTCTCAAGGACCCACTTAAGAATCAAGCAAAAGCCCTGGGTTCTGCCCTCAGGAAAATGCAAATACAGATTGAGCATCCCTAGTCTGAAAAATCCAAATCCCGAAATGCTCAAACTCTGAAATTTTTTGACAACAGTACCACCGTAGGTAAAATATTCCACATGTGAATTCATGTCTGGGGCTGAAATGAAAATGTGGGTACACCAAAAACGCTGTATAAAATTACCTTCAGAACATGTGTATAAAATGTATACGAAACATAAATGAATTTTGAATTTAGACTTAGGTCCCATCCCCAAGATGTTTCATTATGCTTATGCAATTTTTTTGAAATCCAAAACCTGGTCTTCTGATTTCAAGCATTTCAGATAAGTGATGTGCAACCTATACCCACAAAACTTTACAATTTCAGGGAGTTCAAAAACTCCTTAAGGTCCATGGCCTCAGGTGAAGAAGCCCCAAAGTATACAAACAACCATTCCTAAGACTTGGGTTAATGTTAAGAGATGAAGAAGAAAGAATGAGGAAATACGAGGCAACCCACATGAAGAGTGCGCACTGTCCTCTGGGACAAGGATGAGAAAAGCAATGATAGGTGAAGATTTGGATAAGGGGTAAAAATGTGGGGCTGAGGTTGTGGCTCAGTGGTAGAGTGCTTGCCTAGCATGTGTGAGGCATTGGGTTCGATTCTCAGCGCTGCATATTAATAAAATAAAAGTCCATTGACAACTAAAAAAAATATTTAAAAAAGAAAGAAGGGGTAGAAATGTGGGGAAGTTCCAAAAGTTCTTTCCAAAAGTTTAGAATTATAGACACTTTGAATAGGAAGGAAAAGTCAAAGGGTGTAGAAACCAGACAAAATTTGATGAATAATTTTCAAATTTTTATATTGGTAACAAGTGAATATTTTGTGAATTCATTTAAAAAATAGTAAAGTAACAGTTTAACTTAACACAAAAAGAAATAATCTCTAATTGGGTGCACCAAAAACACTGATAAAATCACTTCCAGGAGATGTGTATAAGATGTATATAAAACATAAATGAATTTTGTATTTAGACTTAGGTCCCTTTGATCTTCTGTTTCACTAAAAAATTAAATTTTACTAGATCTTCTTTCAATAATCTCTCCAATAATTCCATCCAAACCCCAAGCTCTTCTCTTTTCTACACTCCTAACCATAGAGTAAAGAAATAAGTTGTGTCTTCAAAGCTACTCTCTTCAGAGAGGTAGTGTTTACCAAGATCTCTTGGAAACACAAGAAGGGATTAAATAGTTGTTTTTCAGGCGGCTTTTCTATGCTAAAAGGATTTAGTAACATAACAAACTGTTGCTAAGAACATAACTAAGACAAAAAGAACTACCTTACTAACTCACTCACTTCAAAATATTATCCTGGGATGCAGATATAAAGATGTTTACAGCAACATAATTTGTAATGGCCCCAAACTGTATAAAATCTATACATTCTTAAGATAGATAAATGGTGGTGTGTTTTAACAAGGGAACACTAATCAGCAAACTAACTACAAGCAACAATAAGGACAAATCTTAAAAACAATGCTGAGTAAAGAAGATGCAAAACAGTACTCAGTAAAATTCCATTTATATGGAATTCAAAAACAAGCTAAACTATAACATACATGTTCATGTTAAAGACTGTGAAACTACAAGGAAAGGCAAGGAAGTTGGGCAAGCGTTTATCTATGGGGGGTAAAAAGAGCCTGTGATGTGTTAAGAGATGAATAACTGCACTTGCTCTAACTACCTCTGCATATGGAGGAGTTTAAATCAAATCATCCTAGAACAACCTGCTCTAAGCAACTGAAAAAGAAGGCAGAAAAGAGAGCTCAGAGAATGTCTACTCCTAATTATATTTTCTTCAGAAAGTAAATGAAATATATTTTGAAGCTACCATTAAATAATGCCTACGTTTAGAGTCTGAAATGTTTCATTAATGTTAATTCTCTAGTAAATTCATTAATGTTAATTATTGAGAATTAACTAGATGAATTAAGATCAAAAGGTTTAGTCCGTTAATCAATTAAAATATAAACAAGATTCAGTTTTATCTTGGAGGCAGAGATGTGATTCTTCCCTTTCTCTTATAAATAACCTATTTATTTAATTTACAAACCGATTGTCTTCCTTACAAGAAAAAACAAATTGAACTTGACATGCTGAAAGCTGGTAGAAGACATTTAAAACAAAACACATCCTGGGATAAAAAGTCCCGAAATGGAAAAAGGAAAACGCTAGAACACTGTCTTCTGTGCAAAGTTTCAATGAAGCCAGAATACTTAAGTTTATTCGAGGGCGGGGATGATTCTAGGTGTTGAAAACCGGATGAAAACCGCATATTTGAGACCTACAATAGCTTTTCAAACAAAAGCCAACGTACCCTGACTCTCCTGTGGCCAATTCCTGCTGAAATTATACTATGCAAACGACCAAATAATATCGAAGTCTATAAGGGAGACTGAGAAGTGAGCCTGGGAGTCAGAAAGAGGTAGACTCAACGCTAAATCTGACTTCCAAAAGTCTCCGCTCCACTCCAGCGCGTTTCTAAGCAGACCAACCCAGCGGACAGCCGTGGCAGGAAGGGAAGCGAAGCGGTCACCATAGGAACTGGGCTCAACCCTAAGCTCCCCACAAACGACCACACGGGCAGGCTGAGCCGCCCGAGGGCTTTCCTGGCCCGCGACTCGGCCCGCTACTGCCCCTCACAGCGGCTGCGGCAGAGAACACCCACCTGGGCCCTCAGCCCCCGATCCCCCCACAGAGCCCTCTTGCAGCCTCCCCGTCGGAGGCCTCCCGGCCCGAGAGCGGCGTTTCCCCACCCTGGCGCATCTCCGCTGCTTCTACCTGGAGCTCCGGGGACCTCTCAGGCCCGCCATCCTCCCCGGAGCTCATCCCTGCGACTGCCTGACCAGGGCCTCGGGGAGAGACCCAGGTCCCGCCCGGCCTCCATCCTCCGCCCCTTTCTCCTCCCTGCCCATCCCAAAAATCAGCCCGGCCCCGCCCCTGCGAAGGCGGAGAAAAGCGGGCCCCGACGGGAGGTCGGCCGGGGCGGTTAGCGCCCGCCTGCGCGCCGTCGGCCCCGCCCTCCACGCTCTGTACCTGAGGGGGGCTCTTCTTCCACCTCCCCGGCGCCTCCGCTCCGCTTCCGTCCGGCGCGCCCCCAGTCCCCGTGCGCACGCGTAGCTGGCTCCACTCGCCCTCTCGCGGGGACTACAAGCCGTGCGCGTGCACCCACGCACGTAGCGACGCGTACATCCACCTGCTCGCGGTATAGGGAGCCCAGGAGAGGCTCTTCCCGGCCCATTCGCGCCGCGCAGGCGCAAGCCCACGCTGCGTCTAGACGCCGGACCCTGAGCGTCCCGTCTCCTAGTAACCATCAGCGAGACCCCTACCCCACCACTTTCTGGCTCCAGCCGCGGCTGCCGCACCTGGATGGAACGCGCATGCGCGGTGCAGTCTCTCGCTGGCGGTCCCTCAGCTCTGGGACACCTGCAGCTTGAGGCAGTGGCTCTGTGTCACTTTTCCTAGGGATCGGGCATCGTTCTGGACTCACGTTCAGTGAAACGGTTACTCCCCAGAGTTGCTCTTCGGCGCGGCTCCTGCCACAGCCAGGAGGCTGTTCCTGAGGGAGCCTCCAGGTTGGGTCCTCCCACTGCAGCCTCCAGGGAACGAGCCCGCCGGTCCCGGTGAGCCCGGGCAGCCTCCCGCCCAGGGAAGCCGTGCACCCATGACCTCCGTCAGCCCTGCACGATGGAGTCAGGCTGGTATTGGGAGGTGGCAAAAATAGGAATGAAAGCCCAGATTCCCAAGCCTCCTCCAAGTCCCCTTCCCAGAAAAATGGGTGATAGTTAACAAAGAAAGATAGACAACCTCACGTGATGTTTTATAGAGAATTGATTTTTTTCCCTTGGTTAATATCCTTCAATCTTATCTTAATTTGGAGTCTTCAATCTGGGAACACTCTAACTTAACCTGTGTAGTATTTTTGGCCATCCAATTGCGTAAAAAATGTTCAAGTGCAGAAATGAGCTTTTAGGTGAAACAAATGAGCTCTGTGTTATTTTGCCAATTTTTTGAAGCCTAACTTTAAAAAAATTATCTTTTGTTTCTTAATATATAACATGTTCCACCCTTCTTAAATAACCCAGTAGCATCTGAACCGCATTGTTGATCTTGTCTCTTTGTCTTTTCCCACAGATAACATAGACATTTGTTTTTGTTTTTGTTTTTCCACGGTCTCCAGTTTTTTTGATGCGATATAAGTCTGTGCCTGTCAAAAATAAGTTCATGTTTGAGAAAACTAACAATTCCTGTTTCTTGGTGAGTGCTCATTTTTTTTTAACCAAACATTATTTGCAGGGGTAAGCAACTTTTATGTTAAAACAAATTTCTTTAGAAAAGTACTTAAATCTAAGTGTCTTGTTTTTCTAATCCCTGGGGTTTTTCCATGTTTATGTCATTATGTTTTTAAAATTTTGTAACATTTATTTACATATACCCATACTTTATAACTAGATACTAGCAAATTAAATGTTCCTATTATTTTAGACAAAGAGATGGGAATACCCAGGGAGCACATTTCCTGTCAAATATTATACCTGATTGATAAAATAAGTAATGAAGGAGCATGGGCTTTCAAAGACTATCCTAAAAATTTAGGGGAAATGATGTATAATCTGGTATCCTCTTTAGATATAAGATTATTTGGAATAGAAGAGTGTCATTTGGCATGGAAAACAAATGAGGAAGAATGTACTAGTTTAAAAACTAGCATTTGAGCTGGGTGTGTAGTTTAGTGGAAGCATGTGCTTGCCACGTGGGAGGCCAAGAGTTCAATCCCTAGAACCAAAACAAAACAAAAATCTATCCATTGCAATTGAAGACTTCAGGGGGAGGAGAATTATTAATATAGGAAATGGAAAATTTTATTAATATAGGAATAAAAAATTTAAGCATTTATATATGCTCCCAGATGTTACCACAGATTCTTGGGAAAGAATATAGAGAGAAGATATTTTGAAGGCCAAAAGAAGGCATCAAGATTTTAATTTATTTTCCTATTGCAGACTATTCACTTACTCCCCTATCTTAAGAAAGTGAAAATTTCCTTCCTTCGATGGAAACTCAAGAACCTTGTATAGTACCTCTGCTCACCCTTGTGACACATAACTTCTTTATGGCTCTAAGGTCTGGATTTTCTAAACCTTTGGTTTCTCCATCATTTCAAAAGCTTTAACAGAAAAAAAAACTCTGCTTTGCCTTTTTTTTTCCCCCCTGTGCCACTCTTGGTTTCCTAAAAAAAAAAAAAAAAAAAAAAAAAGGGCTGGGGATGTGGCTCAGTGGTTAAGCACCCCTGGGTTCAATTCCTGATACAAAAAAAAAAAAAAAAATCTGAGACTTCAGACATATATGTTAAGCTACTTGATGTTGTGCCACAGTTTACTAAAGGTCTGTTCATTTTTTAAATGGTGCTGGGGGTGGAACCCAGGGCCTGACAAGAGTTAGGCAAGTGCTCTACCACTGAGCTACATCCCCAGCCCTCTATTGCTGTATCTTGGGATTTTTCAGTTCATCCTTTGGTAGTGTTAACCCCACCCACAGTATGCTTCATGTTGGAAATTGTGTTTTTCATCTCTGGAAGTTTGGTTTTTAAAAAAAAAATCTTTCATTTCACACTGTATCATGCTCATGGTTTACTCTATTTTCTTGAAAATATGGACTATATTTAAAATATTTAAGTTACTTACTTGTATACTAATTATATTTTAAGTGTCACTTCTGGATTTGTTTATAATTTTATTTCTGCTTGTTTTCATGCCTACTAAAGTTTGATTGCCAAACATTTCAGATATTACATTTTGGGATGCTGAAGTGTGTGTGTGTTCTTTAAATATGTTTGACTTTCTTCTAAGATGAATAAGGTTATTTGGAAAGAGTTTGATCCTTTAGAACTGCACCATCCAAGCCAGGCATGGTAGTGCACACCTTTAATCCCAGGAGGTTGGGAGGCTGAGGCAGGAGGATCACAAATTCAAAGCCAGCCTCAGCAATTTAGTGAGGCCCTCAGTAACTTACTGAGACCCAGTCTCAAAAAATGAAAAGGGACGAGGTTGTGGCTTAGTGGTTAAGCACCCTGGGTTCAATTCCTAGTACTCAAAACAAAACAAAAAAACTGTAACATCCAAAATAGTGCCATTGTCTACCTGTGACTATTTGAATCTGAGTTGATAAAATTAAATTTTATTTGTAATATCCACATTTCATGTACCAAAAGCCACATGTAGCTAGTGGCTACCATATAGAACAACATAGGTATAGAATATTTCCATCACTACAAATAGTTCTACTGGACAGTGCTATATAGTGGTTAGCTTTTATGGTTTGTTTATATTCTATGTAATCTTTAGTTTTGGATGATTTGGACCCTATACTGAGTCAATAACTTTCTGAGCATTCTACCCAATACCTCAAATATTAGGAGGTCTTTCCATTCTGGTGACAATGTAAATCATCCCTTGTCCTGTGTAAGCTCTGGATTATTCTGCCTTCTCTTTTTAGGTGGCTGTTTCCCAGACTTCTCATTTTTCCTTCCATACATGTACTAATCAGCACTCAGCTGAAGAATCGAGGGGAATCCTCTTCAGACCCTAGAGTGCTTTTCCACTCTGTATCTCTTTCCTCTCCACAGACTCTAGCCTCTCCAAACTCTAAACTCTGTCTTCTCAGTTCATTAAAATGACCACACTCTCTTTGGGTTCACTTCTTCTGTGCTGAAGCCTGAAAATTCCAAATAATTTGCCTTCAGAGGATTCACCTTCTTTATTTTCTTTTTCTCAGTGATCACTCTCTTGCACAGCCTATTGTCCAGTACAGTTTGTCTATATTTTTAAATGGGAAAGTATGAGCATAAATCTTGTTCCCATTACTCCCCTATGACTGGAAACAGAAGCTAACCAGATCACCATAGTTTGAGGTTCCATGTCACTAATTATCTCCAATGGAAGTAATTTGCAGTTTAACAGTTTATACCATCTGAGGGAATGATTAGTTCAAAGACTGGAAGCAGATGCGGATTTCCCACAGCACATACTTTAAGAACATCAGTGAGCTCATACAGCTGGGGCAGGAGAAAAAGAGGGCTAGGGGAGAGTGTTAACTGGTGTGTTAGTTTTCTGTTGCTACAATTTGCCACAAACTTAATGCTTTAAACAATATAAGTTTATTATTATATGGTTATTTTGTAATATTTTTTAGTTGATGATAGATCTTTATTTTTTTTTAATATGTGGTTGCTGAGAATTGATCCAGTGCCTCACACATACCAGGCATGTGTGCTGCCACTGAGCCACAGCCACAGCCCCTATTATATGGTTCTTAAGGTTAGAAATCCAAATTGGTTCTTACTGAGCTAAAACTAAGATTTCTTGCCTTTTCAACTTCTATAGGCTGCTCATGATTCCCTGGCTTGTAGTCCTTGTCTGTCTTCAAAGTCAACAAGTCCTTCCCACATTATATCACTCTGACACCTACCTTCTTCCCTTCCTCATTCACTTATAGAGACCCCTGTGATTATATTGGTGCCACCCAACTAATCCAGTGTCATCTTCCCCCCTCTGGGTCAGCTGGTCTTTGCGGGCCATTATTCTGCCTCCCACAGGTGAGGATTAGATATGTAGAGAATTTGGCTTTTTGTCTGAGATGGAAAGCAACTAGAGTATGCTGAGTGGAGATTGATGTGATCTGGCTTATGTTTTAAAAAGCAAAACTGGGGCTGGGGCTGGAGATGTGGCTCAGCGGTAGAGCACTCGCCTAGCAAGTGCGGGGCCCTGGGTTTGATCCTCAGCACCACATAAAAATAAATAAATATATAAAGATATTGTGTCCAACCACAACTAAAAAATAAAAATAAAAGCAAAACTGTTAGAAAACTACAGTATAGGCCATGGTAGAAGTAGAAACAGGATCCATTGACAGATTGGACATGGAATATAAGATAAAGAAGAGTCAAAAATGACTCCACCTGCAGTGCACAAGGTTTCATGTCATACCACATTCTCCTTAATGTTCAGTACTATCCACTTCTCTAGTCGACCATAATGTCAGTAAACTTGGATTTCCAATTCCTACTAAATTTGAACATCTCTTATGTATTCATAACACACTTGGGATTCCTCAATCTATGAATTATGTCTTTATATCCTTTGCCCATTTTTCTCTTGGGTTTTCTTTATTCTTATTGATTTGTAGTTCTTTCCAGTACTGCAGCTATTATGCCTGTCATCTTTAGATAGCAAATATCTCCTTTCAAACTTTTATTCCTTTTTATGTATGGTTTTTTCACTGATAGGAATTGTTACTTATGAGGACTCTAATCTAAATTCTTTAAGTCTTGTTCAATAAATCCTTCTCCAAAAAAGGAAAGAAAGAAATCCTTCTCCACCCCAAGTTGACAAACAAATTGTTCTATGTTTTCTTCAATTGTATTTTTAGTTCTACCATTCACATTCAGGTCTTTTCTACATTTGAACTTTATTTTTATATGTAAGATAGGGATCCTGCTTTACTTCCACAGGATCCTATGTGATTGCTTCATGGTCCACATGGTGAGCCAGTGTTCACAGTGCCAACATACCAAACTTAGTGAGCTCAATCTCCATTGCCTTATAGTGCCTCCTGTAGCACATGTGAGGTTCATGAACATACCTAGGTCCAAGTTGCAGCTCTGTCATGTTCTTTTCTTCCTTTATTTGTTTCTGCACCTGTACAAGATTGCTTTTGTTACTTTGATTTTGTAGCATATCTTAATATCTGATAAGATAAGCCTCTTTGTTCTTTTTGTATAAATTGATTTAATCTTCATGAACCTTTATTCTTCCATACACATTCAAGATTTCCTCTTGAATAGCAACCTGAATGCTGGGCCAAAGAAGCCCCCAACACACTTGTTATCCCTTCATGTCCTCAGGACTCTGGAGGAAGTTAAAGTGAGACTTTCATGGACAAATCTGCCCTGATATTTGGTTCTTCCTTAATTCCTCTATTAGAATGAAGTTTAATGTGCAAATTGATAATTAAATAAATTACCATTATTTTAGATTTATTTCAAATGCAATATGTTGTTTTATAGGGTTTTATTAGTGTTTTATAAGCTTTATTCCAATTTTATAGTTTAAAAATGTTTTAAATCTATAGAACTGTAACAAGAATAATAACCTTCACAGTTTTTTATCCTTCACCTCCTAGATTCAACAGTGTTTAACATTTTACATATTTTACTTTCTCTCTGTACTTACCTATTACTAAACAATTTGAGAGCACGTTGCAGATATGATCCTTCAACTTTAATTGTTTCGGCATGTATTTCCTAAGAATAAGGATATTCGTTTATATAATCACAATACAATTATAATTTGTGTGGCATTTAACATAGATGCAATATTATTATCTAATAAAACATCTATATACAAATTGTACAATTATCCAAGTAGTGGTCTTTATACTACACTCTCCAACACATTCAAAAATCACTCATTACATTTGGAGATCATGTACCTTTGACTTTCTTTAATCTAAACAACTTCTCAGCCTCTTTTTGCTTTTCATGACATTGACACTTTTTAATACTATTTTGTTTTGTAGAATGTCTTTCAATTTTGTTTGTGCCTCAATCTGATTTTTTCTTTATGATTAGATTCAAGTTATACTTTTTTCTCTTTTTCTTTTTGTTGTGTTGAGAATTAAACCCAGGGCCTCACACATGCTAGGGAAATGCTCTACTACTGAGCTCCCAGCCTCAAGTTATTCATTTTTGACATGAGTGTTTCCTTTTTAATTAAATAGAAGAAACCAAATAATAGTATAAACTTAATTTTATTAACTTGAAAGTAGTGTTAGGTTTGGTTTTTTGTTTTTTTTTTATGAGGAAGAAAAATTCCTGTTCAAGTTCCAAATATAAGAAACAAGTATACTGGGCTGGGGATATAGCTCAGTTGGTAGAGTGCTTGCCTCACATGCACAGGCCCTGGGTTCAATCCCCAGCAGCACACACACACACACACACGCACGCACACACACAAAAAAAAAAGGAAGAAGAAGAAACAAGTATATCTACATTTTAGAACTTCATCAGAGATCTTTTTAAAATGTAGCTAAATTGCATTTGATTCCCAGAAAACCAAATCTGTACTACTTATCTGATTGTTATATTAATAACATGTAACTGTTTTATTTACCATACAATAGCAGGCCCAGGATTCTGTTTTGTTATAAACAGTGATACTCAATCACAAATAAAGATTGACAGGGATGTAAGAGATTCCTCAGAAAATTAAAATAGAAAATGATTAGGGCTTGATAGATAAGGAATTGTAAACTATCAACAGATAATACAGTAGATAAATACTGAAGAAATAATACATTCTAAATAAATGGGCATGGGCTTTCACTAATAGCCATGGAGTCTGCATCTTTGGTAGAACGTTGTTTTCCAATAAGCACTGTACTTCCTTTACTGTGACGGGAAACCTGTCCTCTCTGCCATACTAGTCAATTCTACCTAGCAAATTCCTGCCCATCTTTTAAGGCCCTACTCTGACTTAGTCTCCCTTCCTTTGGGAACCTCTCCCAGGTTGTAAGTTCATCTCTTTTAATAGATTAGGCATTCTTAACAAGTACCATATCTTTATTAATCATTGCATTACTAAGTTTTTTTGTCACTGTGAACAAAATACCTAAGAATAACAAATTAGAGGAGTAAATATTTATTTTGGCTCATGGTTTCCAAGGATTCAGTCTTCAGTAGGCCAACTTCATGACTGTGGGTCTGAGATTAGGCAGAACAAGATGGTCGAAGGCTGTGATGGAGGAAAGCTGCTCAGTACATGGTAGCCAATAAGTAGAGAGAGAGAAAGAAGAAGTAAGGGACCAGGGAAAAGGTAGGACATGTCCCAAATGACCTTCTTCTAACTAGGTCCCACACCCCAGTAGACTATTCAGCTGTTAATGGATTAATCCACTAATGAGGTCAGAATCCTCATGATCCAATCATTACCTAAAAGCCTAACATCTTGGGGCTGGGGATATAGCTCAGTTGGTAGAATGCTTGCCTCATATGCACAAGGCCCTGGATTCAATCCCCAGCACCATAAATAAACAAATAAATAGTCAATCTCTGACAGGGTACATTGTCCAAGAAAAATGGAAAACAAAAAGAATCTTTCATTGTATAAGAATTGCTATTTTGGGTTGTCAGACATGCTATACTATATTAATAAGCAACTGTTGATAGGTACAGAGGCAGAGTATTCCCATGGGAGAAACATTTCTTATATGATGTGGAATCTCAGGGTAAAACTGAGTCTATTTGGTCATTGTCCATATAGCCTGGCCCATAACAAGACAAGACTAAGAGAAGTTCTGTTATTTACTGAAAGATGATAAACATAACGTCAGGCAAATTCCTTTTTAAAAAGACTTTCAAGGGACATGACATTTCATCCAAACCAACATTGCTATGAAGTTGTCAAAATTCCTATTGTATTTACTTGTTACCTACATCTTTTTTTTTTCAGTAATCAGATTGAAGAAACTACTTAAAAAGGTGTCTTCAAACAACCTTGATATTTGTTCAACTGTCCCAATGGGATTTTCATTTAGTAAATCTGCTACGCAGGTATCTGCCATGGGAATGGATTCAAAAGTGGACAGTTACTTAATGCAAGGGACTGAGAAAAGCAGGTTGAAACCAATGACTCGGTTATTTCAAAACACCAAGAAAATAAGGTTAGAAGACACAAACCAAGAAAACTTTTCAAGAATTGAAGGAATTGGCCCAGGATCTCTTTCAAAGAAAGCCTTGGGTTCAGTGGTATATGTTAAAGAAAGTGATGGACTAGAAATGACAGATGTGGAATGAAGTATCATACACATATTACCAAAACAATCCAAAAACTGCCTTTGATAAGTGGAGGTGTTGAATGAGAAGTGAACCTTATTGGGAAAATCTAACAAAATGAAGGAAGGTTGGTATCTTATATTTTATTATTTATGAGTCATCTTAAACTATATTTTTTGATGGTGCAAAAACTGTGCAAGGTCCTGGGTTCCACCCTCAGTAACTAATATACACACATACACACACATTTGAACTTGTTCCTGTACTGTAATATTTAATAACTCTGTAATACCCAACTGCATAATCTTCTCAATATTCATATTTTAAAAAGAGGAAAAGGCATGATTTCAGGGAATAAAAATATTTTGTAACAGAAAATGCTAAATGTATTTGTAGATATTATATAAAGCAATTTGCAGTTGCTTTAAGGGAAAAAAAATAGCCTTCCAAAATTCAAGGCAGATTTCTCTGGGATTATATTCTATCTTTGTTAAAAAATAGAATATTTTAGTAACAGTATTTGAAATGCAAAACTTTTTGCTATACTTTTTATGAATTTCTTTAACAAGTGGTGGTGGGAGGGGCAGAGTGTTCAAGCAATTCCACACCAGTATTTTATGCTATTTATGCTGTACTATTTTTGTATGTTGCATCTTCAATTTGGGATTTTTCCTTAGGAAACTTTGCCTTCCTATAATTTTGCATTTCTGTTCTGTAAAAGATTCCTGCAGATAAACTCTACAATCAACCAATAAATTACATAGCTTCAGAAGCATTTCACATTTAAAATTTTTCTTTTAAAACTTTCCCTCATGTGGAATTCATTTCAAAGTTAGAAAATAGTTCTTTCCAAATATCACAGCATATCTTGCAGATGCTAACAAGTTATATTCCAATATTTTGTATAAGAAAAACAACCTAGTGTTCAAAATTTGTTTTACATATCAGTTATTGAAATACATGGCAGTTTGAAACAGCAGTGTTGTTCCAAGTAATGTTAGATGAAATTAAAACCATTTTATATCCATACAGAGAGTGACCTGTAATTATATTATGCATGTTGTTTGTTTGTTTGTTTGTTGGTTTGTTGGTGCTGGGACTTGATTCCAGAGCCTCACACATACTAAGCACATGCTGTACCACTGAGCTACACTCCTAGTATATTTTGTTTAGCTCAGTGGTAGAGTGTTTGCCCAGTAAGTGCAAGGGTTCCATCCCCAGTAACACACACACACACATACACACACACACAGTTGGAACATGTTCCTGTACTGTAGTATTTAAGAACTGTCTGTAATGCCCACTGCATAATCTCCTCAATATTCATTTTTTAAAATAACAGACAAATGCTAAATGTATTTGAAGGGAATATTGAGCCTAAAGTAAAAAGAACCAAAATTTTCAAATGATACATAAGTGAGTAAAACAATGCTTTTGTCACTTACAAAACATAATTCTTTGGAAAAGAAAAAAAGAATTCCTTGTTTACCAAGGCTGGCACTATGCTTGGTGCTGGATAAAATAGCTACTGCCTTCACAGTGCTTTCTGTCTGTCTACCAGGAAAGCCAAAACATATAGAGAAATTACATAAGATATGCTATGAAGAAAACGTAAAACATTCAGAGAGATGTAACAGGAGGAATAACACATAAAGTTGATTTCAATTCTGGGAACTAGGAAGACTTCTCCAAGGATATGACATTTATAATTTCTGCAGTTACATGATTGTCCAATGGATGATGACAGTGGTATAAAGTTGGTATTTAAAGTCATGGGAATGAATGTGATTGTTTAAGGAGCACATTTGTGGGAAGGTGAAGATGTGAGGAACTCCAACATTTAGGGGCTGATCAGAGCAAGGGCAACTGTCAGAGGGTACTGAGAAGTTGGTAATGAGGCCAAAGGAAAGCCAAGTTAATAATATAAAGGTTGTCTATAGGAGTCTTTCTAGGTGGAACCAGTGAACAGAAAGGTTAGGTGAAGACCAAAAAGTCCATTGGATCCAGCAACGCGAATGTCACAGTAGTCTTAGCAAAAGCACTTATGGTGGAATAAGTGGGGCAGAAGTCATTTTGGAGTTGGTTGAATATGAAGTAAGGAAGTAGATATTGTATATATAGTGACTCTTCCAAGAAGCTTTGCTCTGAAAGGAAGTAAACACATTGAAAGTTGGAAGGGGAAATGAGGTCTCTGGAGGATTTGTGAAGCATATTAGAGTATCGCTGGAAAGTTCCAGGGGAGAAGCTGAAGAAGTAGGAAAGGGGGTAATAATTGCCAAGGAACAGAAATCTTAGAGCAGGGAGAAAAGAATAGGATTCTCTATAACCAACTCAGAAGGAAAGAAGAGGAAAAATAAACTACTTTAGAGAAATCAAATTTGGAAGGAAACAATATAGAGAGTGACAACATTATGGGCCTACTATCAATAACTAGGAAAATTCCTACTGAAACTCTGAAAAGAATCCATTTCTACCTGCATAATATAAGACTCAACCCTATCATTTATGGTATCAGCATTGCCAACTGTGAACACAGAATGCTGCTTACTCCAAGAGATAAGTCTTGGTGGATACCCTTCTAACTGAAGTAGGGACTGGTTTTTGTGGAAGATTGAAAGAGATGGTCATAAATTCTTTGGGGTCCTCTCACCAAGAAATGGGGTTGTCATGAGTGGGCTATGCCATTAACATAGGCTAGACATGTTTGTGTCTTTCCGCAATGTCAAATTTATTGAATAACTGTAAATTCACAAACGATATCACTTTCATTGGGATTAATTCACTGAAAATACTCACAGTTCACTTGGTGTCATGAGTGGAGCAGTCACAAGTTCTTTTATTCCATCCCAATCTTAATAATATCTGTAGTACTCAAGTCACATCATACTTCACACAGTGATGTACATACATCACAGAAATGCTCACGAAGGGTTAAAGTGGCCACAGGTTTCCAGAGGCTGAAGTGAGAAAAAAGGTAGAGAGCAGGTGCAAAGGCAAAGAGTCATTGCAGGTGGTGAGATCAGTGTTTAAGGAACCAGTTCTCATAAGTTGAGAGTCCAGAAGGTAGGCACTTAACAGGGTCATTTGACGTGGGCCTCGTCTTGTCATGGGCAGGAGAAACACTGAGCTGAACCCTGGGGACAGAGTCCAAAGTCCATTGATGTGGCATTGTGAGCAAGACTCATGATTAGTGACAGGATCAGAGTGCTGCCATGTCCAGGAGGGTATTCCTCCTTTTATGGGCTTAGGTGAGGGGGTTATATCTGGTGACTACAATAAACTCATGAGCCCGGTTTTTCGGATATGCATTTGATTGTCCATGCATACTTGTGCTTCTAATTTAATAAGTTCACAGGTGGTCATTTTTTTAATAGACTCTTTTTGAAAAAAAATATTTTTCAGTTGTTAATGGACCTTTATTTTACTTATTATGTATATGCAGTGCTGATAATCGAACCCCGTGCCTCACACATGCTAGGCAAGCACTCTACCACTGAGCCATAATCCTAGCCCCACAGGTGGTCATTTTTATTAGCATGACTAATTATCAGTGTGTGCCTTATGATTGTGCTGTGTAGCTGAGGGTTTTTCTTTTCAAAAAGTTCTGTATGTCCAAAATATGATGATTATCTATTTGTCAAGACAAGTTACCAAGTCATTCTGCCTTGGCACTGACACTCAAATTGGAGTAGCTCAGGACAAACTGTTGCTTTATAAAATGGAGTGACTAAGGGCTAGGCACTGCTGTTCTACATAACATGGGAGTAATTTGGAGCAGGACACAGCCTGCTCTTCACAGGGGGCCATCATCCCATCCCTTAACTCTCCACTGGCTTTCTCAAGTGCTGCCTCCAGGTGCTGAACTGAGCTGCTCCAGCAGGTAGCCTGCACCAAGAGCCAGAGTGTGACACTTGGACCCCCTCAGCTCAGCCACACCTTGCTGAATGGAGCCACAGGGTAAACCCAGGTGAAACCAGCTTGCTCACATAATTCTTAGAGATAATAAGTCATGATGTTTGAGGCGCTTTATCACACTGCAATAACTAGCTGAAATCTTGGCTTTTGAGAGAATTTCCCGTCTGGCTGAAGGGAAGGACTTTTTTGCCAACAATGAGTACAACCCAATGTGTCTGCTTTTTGATCCACTCAGTCCAACTTATTACCATCTCTGTGTTGCGAATGCCAACGTTTATTCCTTTAAATGCAATTTTTCTTTCAAAAATGATTTGAATTTTCCCTTTTGAGTTACCTGCCAATTGAACTGAGAGTCCACGCAGTCAGTAAAGAGCACTTGCTGGTACTCTGGCGGGCTGGGACCTGAGTGCTTTGGGTTTCTGGGGTCTCCCCCTGAACAAGCCTAGGAAATGCCCCTTCCACCTGGCGCACCTGCCTCTCCTACCTTCGCCCCGGGACGGCCGTTATCTCTGTGCTCTCACACAGCGAACTGCCATCAGAGCTGGGACTTTATAACAAAATTTCGATACTTTTATTCAAACGTGGCCTACGACCCCGTCTCAAATGTGGTTTTGCGTTAGTTGGCACGTCCCGAGGGAGCCTTCGGAATCCCGCCCGGCGACCTCCTAGGCAAACAGGGCACGCTCGGGAGGTAGCCACGCCTCCTCCGGCCCTCGTGGGCGGGCCGGGCCGGGGCACCGCCTCTGCTCGTGGGCGGGGCTTGGGGTGATGCGCGTCGCGTGCGCAGCCGCTGAGCGTCCGGGTCGACCCGTTCTTCTCCCGTACCAGTCCTCCCCGGCGGGTAGGTGCTACCGGAAGCAGCAGGTGAGAGAAGCCGGAAGCGGATCTAACGCGAACGGCGCGTGGTGGCGGGTGGAAACCGGCCCAGCGGGGCGCTCGGGGTTCTTCGGGCGGCGGGCAAGGACAAAGTTCCCCGGGACGGGTTCTGCGTGCGCGCGCCTCTGGCCTTCAGGGGCCGGTGCTGCAGGCTCTGCAGCTTGTGCTCCGCGCTCGGCACGACCTCATGGCTCTGTTAAGAGCGGCCGAGCCCGAGCCCCGGTCGGGTGTGTCAGGTGGCAAAGTAGATGTCTGGGTAAGGTTTTATGATTAGCCGGGATTATGCTATTTTTGTTTTTTTAAATCTGTTTTCTGTTTGGTGATGGGGAAGTATGTTTGGCAGTGCACAGTGACAACGAAGCGTCCCGCAGAACAGGGACAGGAGAGCGTCTTCTGAGGAAAACGTGTACGGTTCGTAATTACAGGGTGGTTGGTAATTACAGGGTTAGAGTAGATATGCAAAGCGATTTAAAAAAAAATTTTTTTTGCTAGTCTTTCAAAGTCTTAGCTATATCCCGGCAACTATCATTTAGTCCGTACCTATCTGCCACAGGAGCACAGAGCCAAAGAGAGGCACACCTGTCCCAGCGAATCCAAAGCTCCCCAAGGAGTAAACACTGTCCTGGCTTAAGAGTAGAATCTTTCCTGGTCCCAGGAATTGAGGTGGTTTCCTCTGGACCCATCCCATCTAATATTGAGATCATATAACTCAGTTTTTTGGTTCTGATGCATATTTACCAAAGTTAAGATAAATAGCCTTACCTGTAGTCCTATAGCAAGTAGTTGGGCAGGCCTAGAGGAATCTCTCTCTGGTCAGTAGTTTATGATTCTCTCTGTAAATCAGTAAGTTCACATTTAGGTTTTCTTGGACATACCTTTCTTTCTACTTTTCTCTGTGTGATACTTGTTATCCTTTAGGGCCCAGTTATAATGTTACATTCTCACTAAGGCCTAGAATAGTTTGTTACATAAGCATTCAACCTAACTCCTTAATCTTTGTCCCCATGTCATCTTTTTTTAAAGATGAGTAGTTTAACAATTCTATTTGAAATTGAAGCCTAATGATTCTTGCATATACATTTTCAGTCTTCCCTCTCCCAGCTTTAGTTTTTCTTTGTCCTACAGACCTTACCCCCCTTAATTACTTGGCTTACTGATAAATCCCAAGTGGTAAGAAGAGTACATGTCATATAGTTGATGCAGAATTTGTCAAATTAATACCTGTGCTGGGTTGTGTTTCATTCATAATATATACACAGTGCCTGGATGAATGGAGAGTTTGGCGCTATTAAAATACATGAATTAGAGATCAATTCATGATCCATACATTGAATCAATACATGAATCAGATCAGTTATAGAACCCTAGCAAATATTATTTTTGACCAATATTTTGTGGATTATGGTTAATTTTTCAAAGTAAATGCCACTTTATTGCATCTTGGTTATGAGTCATTGTACACTTGAGAGAACATAATGTTTTATGACTGGAACAGAAAAACAGATGGGAAGGAACACTATAATAACAGTTAACGTTTCCATGCAGTTCATATTGGCCACACAGGAATGGTTTATATGTAATAACCTAATTCTCTTAACCATTCTGTGAGGTCTGAGATAGTTGAAGCAGCCAGAAGTTAACTACTTTCCTAGGGTTATTCAGTTAGTAAGCAGCAGAGCCACAATTAAAATTTAAGATCTTAACTACTTTGCTATCCTGCCACACTCTGCATATATTAACAAGACTATGTCACAAGGTCTTTGAGAATCTCTTCCACAAACACTTTCTGGCTCATTAGTGTCCAACATACCACCGACCCATTTGTCACTGTTTCTCCCTTGGATCACATTGGAAGGGGATCCTTTCTGCTCCTTCTGAACTCTGGATCCCAGCACCATCACTTTCTCAAGGAGCTCCCTTCACCAATGTTACCCTCTTCTTCCAGTTGTCCTACCAGCAACATCTAAACATGCTTCGGTCTCTTGCATGTTAGGTTATCTCCTAACTTCACATTTCTTCTATTGCCCTAGCTTCTCCATTTTACAACTAGAATATATTCATTGAATCACTGTGGACCTCCCAGTCACTCAGCATACCTGGTTTTTGCCAAGATCACTAATAACTTTCTTAATGAAGATCTATTTTCAGCATCTTACCTCCTTGAAACTTCCATAATGCCCTATTTAAAATTTTTCTTCTTATTATTCTCAGTTTTCTTTGGGAGCTCTCCCTCCCTTCTCTTCATATCTGTTAAATGTTGCTGCTCTTTAGGGTTGTGTTGAAGACTCTGAGTCTGCTTACAGAACCCTCCTGAGACAATCTAATCTTCTCCCATGGCCTTGGTTACTTTCTTTTCAGCCCTGTCCCATTGGCTGACAAATAATCATAGACACTTAAGTTCAACACAATTAAATGAACCAAATATTTTCACCCCATACCTCCTCTTCCTGTGAGACCTGTACATTATCAGTTAACTACTCTTTTTGTCTCTAGTCTAGCCTTTCTTTAGTCCATGCACAACACTGTGGAGATAGTTTTGTATGACTCAACACTTTTTTGCTTAAAACACATCAGTAGATCATAGCTGCCTTCACAGAGAATCCATATGTTTTAGGATTACATGAACTTGTCTCCTCCCTTCTCTGTCTTCTTACTACCTGTGCCTAGCAGGCACTCCATAAATATTTATTGAATGAGTACAAGACTTTATCAAACTCATACAGAACCAAGAACAAGGAGATTAACCAAAGAAATGCAATCTGAGTGCAGAGACTTCCTAGGACAGTAGAGCTGTGAGCATCAGTGAAGCTAGAATACTGTTAGTGTAACTGTCTCTTAGGAAGGAGTACCCAAAACATGCCTTAGTAGTAGAAGATTCTGATAGTTTCAGCCTTTGTATATGCCTTTGCATATGCTACTCCCATCAACCATCAAATTTCAACACTGTTCAAGTATCCCTTCCTCTATTAAACTCTGCAGATGTTTCTTAGGGGAAGGTATAAACTGGTTTTTCTTTTCTAGTCTCTAGTCTAGCCTTTCTTTAATTCATACTAATTTAATATTGACCTAAGTAAAAGTTATGCTGGCAGTAAATCATATATTCCAAGTTGAAATAGGAATTATTTTTATAACATTGTAAAGACATAATTAGAACTTTCCATAGAGACGTTCATGAATACATTGTTGATAATACAGGAAAACTAGAAAAAAAAGCAATATAGACTAAGAAACTGAGTATATTATGTTTTTTTTTTTTTTTTTTTTTTTTTAATGGTACTGGCAGTTGAACCTAGGGCTTTACATATGCTAGTCACTGAGCTACATGACCAGCCCAGTGCTTTTAATTTGAGGAGGGTTTTGCTAAGTTATACATTGTGACTGGCCTTGAACTTGTGAACTGATATATTTAATAACAAAATATTACATAGTCATTAAACCTGATTTTAAAATAGATTTAATGTAGAACGAGAGCCAGGCACAATGATGTATACACCTGTAGTCCCAGCTACTTGGGATGCTGAGACAGGAAGGTCATTTGAACTCAGGAGTTTGAGGCCAGCCTGGGCAACATAGTAAGACATCTTAAAAATAAAAATAAAAAAATCATTTATATGTATATACATAATTCCCAGAAGACATAAAATGGGTTGTTTATACCAAAATGTTAATTGTGGTTCTTTTCAGCGGTGGGATTATGTTTTCTGTTCTTTTGCTTACCTGTTGTTTCCTCATTTTTTTTCAATAACATGTATCATGAATTCAAAATAATTTGGCTTTGGTATGTGTAATGTATTTGCTGCATCCTTTTTTGTTTGAAAAATCTGTGCCTTCATTTCAACTGAAATTATTGAATTTTATCTTCTTTTTTTTTAAAGTACTTTGTTATAGAGTTGCAAAGACTAAAAAGCTAACAGGCAAGAAAAGCAATCGGACTGGACACCTAGTTAAGTTTGAATCAAATAACCAATAACTGATAGCTAGAAGGTAGAATTTAATTTTCCTTTTTTCATTGAATTAATTTGTTTTTTTGTCTTTCATTTTTAAAAGCATGCTGATCCCATTTTCAGTGAAGAACTGCTTCCAGTTGCTTTGTAATCACAAGATTCCAGCAGCAGGCTTTAAAAACACTACAAAAGGTGGGCTCATTTTACAGTCAATTTCCAATGATGTATATCAAAATCTGGCTGTAGAAGACTGGATCCATGACCATGTAAACCTAGAAGGCAAGCCAATTCTTTTCTTTTGGAGAAATTCTCCCTGTGTTGTGATTGGTAGGCATCAAAATCCTTGGCAAGAATGTAACCTGAATCTGATGAGAAAAGAAGGTATAAAACTGGCTAGGAGAAGAAGTGGAGGAGGAACAGTCTACCATGATATGGGTAATATCAATTTGACTTTCTTTACAACCAAAAAAAAGTATGATAGAATGGACAATCTGAAATTAATTGTGAGAGCACTGAATGCTGTCCAACCCCAGCTGGATGTTCAGGCTACCAAAAGATTTGACCTTTTACTTGATGGTCAGTTTAAAATCTCAGGAACAGCCTCAAAGATTGGCCGGACTACTGCTTATCACCATTGTACCTTATTATGTAGTACTGATGGAACCTCTTTGTCTTCTTCACTAAAGAGCCCTTACCAAGGGATCAAGAGCAATGCCACTACTAGCATACCTTCTTTAGTGAAAAATCTTTTGGAGAAAGATCCCACTCTGACCTCTGAAGTACTGATGAATGCTATTGCTGCAGAGTATGCTGCTTATCATCAAATTGATAATCACATTAATCTAATAAATCCAACTGATGAAACACTGTTTCCTGGAATAAATAGCAAAGCCAAAGAACTACAAACTTGGGAATGGATATATGGCAAAACACCAAAGTTTAGTATAGACACTACTTTGGATGTGTTATATGAGCAGTCACACTTGGAAATTAAATTATTCATAGATATAAAGAATGGAAGAATTGAAATCTGCAATATTGAAGCACCTGATCATTGGATACCACTGGCTATATGTGACAAGTTAAATTCAAGTTTTATTGGCAGCAAGTTTTGCCCAACTGAAACTACCATGCTGACAAACATTTTACTTAGAACATACCCAGAAGACCATGAACTACATAGTAAATGGGATATTCTTTGTGAAAAAATTAGAGGAATAATGTGACTCCAAGTAACTATTTATATTGTCAGTTTCAATGAGAGAATAAAACTTTTAAATGCATTGTATGTCTAAAAAACAAAAAAGCTGAGTGCACTGGCATCTGCTTGTAATCCCAGCACTTGGGAGGCTGAGGCAGGAGGGACACTGAAGTTCAGGAGTTCAGCGTCAGCCTGGACAACAGTGAGGACCATGTCTGGGGAAAAAAGCCTAGTCTCTTTCAGTAACTTCTCCCCATTTGAAATTCTTTATTATCTGTTCTTGTCCATCTTCTCTTTTGACATTTAGAATACGCTTTCTTCATTGATTTAGTTCCTGGCACACATTTATATTTCAGCTCCTTCACTTCTTATTGCCTTGGAAATGTATACCACAGTAGACAGTCCAGCTTCATAATTGCTTGTTTTCATACCTCTGTTGCCACCTCTAATATCATAATCTCTAAAATTCTCTCATATTTAAAATATTTTCTTGTCTTTCCATCTTCTCTCACTAAATGAAACCCATTACATTTTTCCCAGCCTTTGACTTTAATCTCTCCTACCTTCATTTCTTTCCCTCATCAAGCCTGAATTATTTCAAGTATACTGTACTTTCTTACCAGTGTTTTCATCTGCTTTTCTCCCTTTACCTACCATTGCCACTTAAAAAAAAAAAAAAAAAAATGTCCAGACAATCGGTTTTCTATTTCTATACCTAGATGACAAGCAATCCATCATATAATCATGACAAGCAGTCCATCATAAAATCATATAATCATGCAGATTTGCCCAATTTCATATTTAAAGTTTTTAACTTACCACATCTTTCTGTTGGTGTCAGATTCATCTTGTCTTTCGTTGACTTCCTCTCATTCTAAATTTTGCAGTACTGGTGATTGAATCCTTGGCCTTACGCATGCTAGGCAAGCATTCTCTGAGCTACATGTCCAGCCATTTTTTTTTTTCTTAAATTTTGAGATGGTCTTGCTAAATTGCTCAGGCTGGTTTCTAACTTGTGACCCTCCTGCCTCAACCTCACAAGTAGCTGGGATAAGAAGTGTGTGCCACTATGCCCGGCATTCCTCTCATTCTCAGGCATCTTATTCCTAAAGGTTACCACTCTCACAGGCTCCAGAATTCCACTAGTCTTTGTAAGGAAAATAAAATAAGGGTGACACAGACATAAGATGCAGAGGCAGGAAAAGTGACTGCTTGTCTAAGTGGCCACATTTATTTATATCAATAATTTACATTAGATCATTAGTACCATATCTACATTATTGTTTATAGAGTGTCAGTAAGGTTGCTTATTCTGCAGTTACAGTTACAATATGCAATGTCAGGACATTTGTACAGCTCTTAAGAAAATCCATTGTATAAAGTTACTATTATGTGGACAGATTTAGGTTCAGTGAATCATTGTGGTTTTCTACAAGAGAGTCCCTATATTCCCCAGGAGCTGTGTGCCTGAGTTGAAGGTCGAAGCTGATAGGACTTTAACAGCTTTCTTGTGAAGGACATCTCTAAAGCAGCCTGGCATCCCGTGACTTTACACAGAAGTTTCCCAGCAGCCAGGCATTCTGTGCCTTTGCACAGGAACTTCCTAGCCACCAAGCATGCCACAATCACAAAGTTTATCAGAGACCCCCAATCCCAAACACAGAGCCCTTACAAGTCTTCACAAACCTTGATTGTTAATTTGTTGAGAGTTGAAGTCTTCAGAAATGAGTCTTTTAGCTCCAGGTTCTCTACTTCAATATTTATCTTTTCTTTCAATCTCAGGAGGAAGTGCTGCCCTTGCCCTTAGTATAACCTCTCTAATTAAACCTGGATTTTTCCTCTCCTGCTTGTGTTTGGGACTTGCACCATTATATCTTCTTTATCTTGCATTTGTCTTCCCACATTTACTGGATCCTTAACCAGAATGAATGAACATGTCTCCCTTTTCCCAAAACATTCCTGCTCAAGATGCTTGTGAAAAGATTCTCAATGTTTTCATTACAAAATTTTTTCAGAGTATCATTCTTGTTGACCATTTCCTGTCTCTACAGCTGATTAATTCACATACTGCTTTTATTTCTAAAATATACTGTGTGTTAGTATTGAGTGCCTACTGTGTCAAGCACTAGACTAGATATAGGATGTTCATAGGGAGTTAAAAAGACATGATCACTGACCTCAGGAACTGACAGTTTAGTATAATGCCTTTCAGACATTTTAAAAATCAGACCAAAATAAAAAAATATATTTTACATTGTGCCTTAACACACATTTATCCATACCTAATAAGCTTAACAATACAATGCTTGTTCCTTACTATTTACTTCTCTGATATTTTCCATTTTATTTTGTCTTTTAAAAATTGGTGCTGTGTGCAGTGGCACATACCTGTAATCCCAATGGCTCAGGAGGCTGAGGCAGAAGGATTGCAAGTTCAAAGACAGCCTCAACAAAAGCAAGGCCCTAAGCAACTCAGTGAGACCTTGTCTCTAAATAAAATACAAAATAGGGCTAGGATGTGGCTCAGTGGTCAAGTGCCCCTAAGTTCTATCCCTGGTGCCCGTTCCCTCCCACACACAGAAAAAATTGGTCTTTTTTGTTGGGGGTACTGTGGATGGAACCTAGGGGCACTTAAGCACTCAGCCACAACCCCAGCCCTTTTTTACTTTTTATTGTTCTTATCACTCATTAATATATCAAGACCTCAGTTTTAAAATCTTTGGCTTAGGAGAAGATAATTAGTTACAAATAATTAATTACAAGATAAAAATGGTATTAAGGAAAAGCTGAGATAGTGGTAAACAGGCAATAATAGGGGTTACCTAGGTAGAACTACCAGGAAGATGACATTTAAACAGGATAAGAAGAAAGCCATGCAAAGTGGGTGGATGGGGAGGAGAGTATTCAAGGTTATGTCAGTTATTGCTGTGTAACAAACCATTCTAAAACTTGGTAGCTTAAAACAAGAATCATTTTACTCATAAATATATAATTTGAACAGGATTTGGAAGGGATAGCATATTTGATCCAACAGCATTAACTAGGAGAATTTAACTGGAGCCAGAAATATCTTTCAAGATAGCTTATTCACTAGCAAAAGAGTTGGTTGTATGCTGGCAGCTCTTTGGGGACTGGACTGAGGGCTTTGGTTCCTCTCCATGTGGACTGCCTGGACTTCTTCACAAGCAGGTGGATGGGTTCTAAGAACCAGCAACCAAAGAAGCAGGGCAGAACCTGTTTTATGCCACAGCTTTGGAAGTAATATAGTATAACTTCTGGGGTCTCAAGCACAAATTCAAGGAGAGGGAACACAGTTATTCATCCCCACAGAAGGAATTTCATAGTCATTAAGATCTGCAATGAGATTTCAATGGCAAGTACAATTTGCCAAACAGAATAGCATACAGGAAGACTAAAGCAGGAAAGACTGGGCTTCTTGACAGTGTTGAGGGAATAGGCAAACAAGGTGGAAAATCAGGCAAGGTGAAGGTGGAGATGGGTAGAGACCAGATCATGTAGAGACTGATAGGCTACAGGAGAGTTTCGTCTTAAGTGCAAGAAGAAGTTTTAATAAAGATTACTGTTCTGTGGAGAATGGACTGGAATGAAGCAAGATTAGGAGTGGCCAGTAGTTGGAAGCTACTGCTGAGGTACAGGCAAGTGCCATGGAAAGAAGAGGACAGTGTTCAGCCCTTGTTAAAAATTAAGGATGGCGGGGATGGGGCTGTAGCTCAGTGGCAGAGTGCTTGCCTAGCATGTGTGAGGCGCTGGGTTCGATCCTCAACACCACATTAAAAAAAAAAAAAAAAACCCTAAGGCATGCTGTCCATCTACAACTATAAAAAAAAAATATTTTTTTAATATTTATTTTTCAGTTCTCGGCGGACACAACATCTTTGTTTGTATGTGGTGCTGAGGATTGAACCCGGGCCGCACACATGCCAGGCGAGCGTGCTACCGCTTGACCCACATCCCCAGCCCTATTAAAAAAAAAATTAAAAATTAGGGATAGCAATGAGTTGAAATGCATTCTGCTGTCATATATAACTAATTAGAACAAATTTTTTAAAAGAAAAAATGAGGGATGGATGCTTCCTATTTTCAGGACATGGCTTAATTTTGGTTCATTTAAAAAGGAAATAATGAGACAATATTAACTTGCTAGGGCTACCATAACACCCACTGATTGGATGGCTCCAAGTTCAAGATAAGGTGTCTTACGAGACCTTGGCTTGTGGACAAGCACCCCATATTCCCACAGCTTCCCTCTGAATGCATGCATATCTGTGACCAAATTTTCTCCTCTTAGGACTTCAGTCACATGGATTAAGACCCACTCAAACACTTCATTTTAACTCAGTTGCCTCTTTAACAACCTGATCTCTACATATGGCTACATTTTTCTATTTTTTAGAGAGGAAGAACAGGTGTGCATGCAGGGTTCTGCCTACAACAGGTTATTTCAAAGCAGGGATGGCCTAGTGAGGGAGATTTTAATTTCACAAATATAATTTGTGAGGGCATGGGTACAAGAGCTAGGCTGTGCCAGTCAGAGGCACCTGCTCCAAACTTTGAAAGTAGTGATGCAGAGAACCCTAAATGGATGAAAACCCTTAGACAGTCCAGGAGCCTGACTTTCTGGGGTAGTAAAGGCAGTGAGGCTGGCAGTGGCAGTGCCAGTAACAGAAGTGATGTAGGCTACCACATCCATCCCTTATCACAGGGTGACATGATTAGTTCAGGGTTTCAGATCTTCCCTGCAAAGCCTCCGCATTCAGTCAATAACTCTCATGGTGATGGTTTAAACCACTTACCAGCCTTTTAATGCTCCCCACATACATCCTGCTTACATCAAGTAGCAGCAGTTTTTATTGCTTTTTACTAAGAAAACTTACTGTTACAGTCACTCCAGGAAAGTATGGGTTGAAGAAAAGCGGTTACTACCTACTTCAGGGGAACTGTAGTGTTTTGTTTTTTTTTTTTTTTTTTTTGTTTTGTGTCTAGAATCAAACCCAGGGCCTTGAACATGCTAAGCACATACTCTACCACTAAGCGAGCACCCTTGACCCCAACTGTACTGTTCAAAAGGAAGGATGGAAGAGAAATGCATGTTTCCCAGAAGCTGAGTTTCAAGAAGACAAGGGCCAGCTTGGTCACATGCCCCCAAAGGTCAAGTAATACGAAGGTGTTAAGAAGTGCTAATTAGATATGGTGATATGGAGGTCACTATTGAGCTTACCAAAAGCAATTTCAGTGGAGTGACTGGGACAGCAGCAAGTGAAGTGGTGGAAAGTATGAACAGTTGGTGCATACTTTTTTAGAGAAACCTTTTAAGAAGTTGGTTCATGAAGAACAAAAAGTAGGGCAGCACCTGGTTAGGGATGTGCACATTGGCAGGAAAGACCAGTGAATGGTGCTCAAAGAGCCAGCTACTCAATGAGGCTAAAGGGCAGTTCAGGGTCACTGCTGAAAATCACACCATCTTTCTTACATATCAGGAATCTTAAAACTTTTTATATGTTGTCAATTTGATCTTTCATGTTTCTAAACTTCATTTATGGTTCCTTTTTTTTTCTTTTTTTAGTTGTCAATAGATCTTTATTTTATTTATTTATATGTGGTGCTGAGAATTGAACCCAGGGCCTCAAATATGCTACACAAGTGCTCTACCATTGAGCCACAACCCTAGCCCTGGGTCCTTCTGTTTTAATATATGATCTGTTCTTTTGCTCTTCCTTTGATAGTTCCTGG